TCCAAATCAATCCCACTCTCCTGTTATAAAGATGATAGTTATAAGCCTTGAAGCTTTGCTCTTCTGGCTTCCCATTTCCGTTTTGATTAGATTGCTGAATTGCTGTCACTCTAGTTATGCGCAGAATATTCCGTTTAAATTCTTGTGTTCAGATTCTTTAAGATTAGGGCAGTTTAGAACATCCATATAGCTTTTAATCTGCATTGTCATGCAATTCACTTATGCATATGTAGTTTGGATACTCAAGCATAGTAATGGGTTTCCGCATGTGTTAGACGTCTGGTTGAAAAAAAAGGTCCCACTCAAAGTTGTGTAACAGAATATCTGCACTTGAGAAGGCGTGACATTAGGTCTGAGAGAGATTGTGAGGCTTTTTCATGTTCCCTCATAATCTCCAGGCATGTTGTTTTGAAAGACTGGAGGTAGGGTTATGTTCAGTGAAGTGCTATTGCCTCTTTGGTGCTTTTCTGTTGGTTTGGAGCTTGTGGGGCATGTTAAATTTTATGCATGATATTTGGGTTGACCCCTTACAATTTATTGCACATTAAGGATGTGAGAATCGTTGCACATGCTTGCATCCTAATGAGTGCTCAGGTCTCACACCCACGAACTCTGTAGCTTGTTTTCTGCTGTTGTCGATAAACATGGTGGAAAGGAAGGTCGTGTTTTCGTGCTGGAGTATTTAAGATTATGGAGCTCGGGTCCAACGGGAGTAGGTTTGAACAGGATTCTAGGTCCTGTTTGTGTTTATCCATATTGTGGGAATTTTTTGTTTGTTGATACCCCAGGAGATTGTCAATTGCTCTTTGACTAAGGTTAAAGTGGAATTGAATCCTCATCGTCCCTACTCGCCAAATATCCCAGTTTGTTAATCTGGATTATGTGTCCTGACAGTTCATGTTTTGTTGCTGCTTCGAAACGGGTTGTTACCATCGATGGATGTGTATTCCAGCTAATTGATTTGTTTAGACTCCCTCAATGAATGAATGAATGAGGAAATCTTTCCAAATTAATGTACGATTTTCATTTGATTGTGAGTAACAATCCATTTAGAGTTTGAAAAATGTTGAGATCTTCATGCTGTCTAATCGCTGAAAGGAAAAAATGGAATTGTTACAAAAACTTACGGAACTTTCTTTTACATTTACAGGTCCCCTCTGGACAGAAGACCCGTGGAGGCTGGCTGTTTTGATGTGGCTCAGGTAGAGTTTATATCATGAGTTTTCTCAACCAATTTACGGGGGGAAAAGGCTAATGTGATAAACTTCTGGGTTTGTGATTATCTTGTAATCAGATATCATTTTCGGTGGAGTCTTAGGTCAACTATCTGATCTCCGCAATAATATGAATCTATTGGTGTGCTGGATCTGAACTGCTGCCTGGAAGCTGAGGCCTGAACAGCAGTAAAAAATGATCAAATCTTAGCAAGGAAACTATGCACATACTCAAATTCTCATGGCAGTAATGAACAAACAGTGGTAAACGTATGGCTTTTCACTCACTCTCCATGTTTGTGATTGTCTGAAGCAGGCTTCAGTTTTAATGGTGAAAGTAGCCATATGGGTAAACACTTTGAGCATAAAATATAATGACAGTTTGTGCTCTAAGTGGTTATATTTAAAATATCCCCTTCCCCGAAGGGATGTGCAATGTTCCCAGGGCTTCTGGCTGGCTAACCTACTCCCAGACCTCTTCCAATTGAGCTCATGAAGACGTGTGTGAGAACAACTTAGGATAAAAAAAAATGTCTTGCCCTCTGGGAAGCATCTGTTGTGTTGTTTCACAAGCAGCTTCTCTTCCTCATTCTCCCCCACTCCAACCAGCAAAACTGAAGGCAGGATTTGATGACTCAATGGAAACCTTACTGTTCAAAATCAGCATGATTTAACTCTTGATATCTTTGTTCTTATAAGAAAATAATGAAGGAACAAAAAAACTGGGATTTACACAGTGCTCTTCATGCAGGATAGTCTTGGTTATACAGTGGTGGCGTTGGATGCAGTGGGAGGGGGAGGTGACTGTAGGCATGGTTGAAGAGGCGGTTGTTACAGTGGAATTTAAAAATAAATAAAGAGGGGTTGAGGCTGGGATTTCCAGAGGTTAGGGGTGCAGTGGCTGAAGGCACAACAGAACGCAGTTAGAATAGTAAACTATTTTTCACAATGGAGAAATTGCATCAGTAATATAGTGAAATGTTAGAGGATGCTTTATTATCATTTATCAACCTCTTTCCTTGATGTGATGTACATTGCACAAATGGGGTGTTTCTTTATATTTTAAAAAAACACTGATGAATAGTTTACAGAGCAGTGCTGGCGAACGTTTTCCGGTAGATCTTTGAAATATCTATCTTATTCCAATTGGGGCTTTGTAAGTACATTTGTGTTCAACTTGTGGCAGTAAAGCATAATGCCACCAATCACAGAGGTATTAGTATCGATGTTAACCCTTTTGAGGGCAGTACCCATTGAAAAATTAACAATCCTCATTGTTAATGAGGGGGAGGCATACATCATTTCTTGCTCTTCAATGGCTGGGCAAGGGAATTTCTCATTTGACTTTCGATGCTATTTTGCGGTACTAACATAGTATCGATTGTCTCTGTTTTATTATTTGAAATTTTCCACCCACCAAAAGACAATTTGTTGTGGGTGTGTTAAAAACCAGCATTAGTTTTTTGCTTAAGAGTTTGTCACTCCACTTGATTAGCAGGTTCACTGTTACAGGCACCAAATCAAATGCAAGGATTGCCACTGAAGGCTTGATTTTTTTTGTAATATAAAGAAACCCCCCCCCCCCCATTTGTGGATATACATCAAATCAAGGAAAGAGGTTGATAAATGATAATAAAGCATCCTCTGACATTTCACACTTCGTCTATTTTACTGGTACAGTTTCCCCATTGTGAAAAATATTTTACTATTCTTGCTTTCTGGCAGTAACACTGGCTTCTCGAGTTTCTTTATTGCAAGTGTTTCATGTTGCATCCATGAAAGTGCTCAGCCCAGTTCTGAAAAAGCAGCTTGCAAAACCTCAAGAGCTGCCTGATATAGTCTGAATGAATAACCTTCAAGCATGGCAGAATTTTAGTACTAACCTTCGATAAATGTCTTGCTTTGAGTGGAAACTTTTTTTTGTAAAGTTCTTGAATACATTGTGCAGTTTTGTAGTATTGTGACATGCCCAACTTTATTGTTCGTGAAAGACCTGCAGAACCCACACTTTGCAGAGAGAGCACAATGCCTGCGGTTTTTAAACCAGTATTGTCATTTTCCTGTAAGAGAAGCCAGTGTTTGTGTGCACGTTATCAGATTATGAAACGAAAAGCAAAGGGTGGTTTTGCTCTGATTAAGAATTTACATTTCAGCAAATAGTCTTTAACTTTCAAAACTGAACTCGTGCCTGTTCTCAAAATTCATTGCAATTTACATTATTGCAAGCAGAGCTTTTTCACTTTGTTTGCCCTTCGTGAACCTTTACGTGTATCCAGGGGGGTGTTTAATCGGTTGTCTGCTGCTCTACAATAACCATCGTGTGTTTATCTGAGCAGTCAACTTGCAGATGTCATGCTGACAATTGTAACCAAAGCTTCAGCAAAAGTAAATGGAAACCTGACCTTAATTGTTCGAAACCCTTTTTTCCCCCCAATTGCAGCTCTTTGCATCGCGTGTGTTGGGTTTAGACTTGTGTTTTTTTTTGTTCTGCTACTGGGTGCTGTGAACAACTGGTGTTTTACAGCCCTGCATTCGCATGTCCAGTGCCTTTCAATGGGGCCTGCTGGTGAGCACGTTTCATCTTACCCATTTAGGTCTCTGCTTCTTGTCATGATCTTCTTACTTCACTTACTCACTCACTATATTGCTTTCTTAAATGTCGCCCATCTGTCTTTCTGGTTTTATTGTCTGTTCTTGGTTTAGCTCCCAGATGTGAATCATAACTCTTGTCATCACAATCTGAGTTTTGACATTTTACTCTTTCTAACACCCTCCACCCCACTATCCGCCCAACATAAAATAGGGTACAGATAAATGATACTCTCAGATCTATTTTGCTATCTTTTTAACAGGGAAAAAAGTGGAGTATAAAAGAAAATCATTTGTGGCATAACTAACATAATATGAACTTACTCTTGCTTATTTTCCATAATTAATTGGTAGAACTTTCCCAGGTAGCTGGGTCGATTTACCTTTGGGAATAATTGAGATACGTATGCCCTTCTTTCCCGCAGGAGGTGAAAGGAGCAGATTTGGTGAGCCTAATGCTGTTAGCATTGCTCCCCTCTACCTTTGCGATCTCCTAACCCCTATCAACTTGACCCTTGCCTGCGTTCAGCCGGCTGCAGCCTGCTTCACGTCCCCCGCCTCGCCCGCCACACCATTGGTGGGTGGGCCTTCAGCCACTCTGCCCCCACCCTCTGGAACTCCATCCTGCAGCCCCTCCACCTCGCCCCTTTCCTTGCCTCCTTCAAGAACTCCTCTTCGACCGTAGCTTCCATCACCCTTCTCCCCGCCCCCAGCTGAAAACCAGCTTTCAAATTGAGATCGACTTTTAAGAATTTAATACATGATCTTGATTTTGTTTTAAATTGACTTTCAGCCAAGCAGTAAGTGGAATTTTTGGAATCATAAGTAAGTCAGGTGGCACTTGGGATGTACACTGATGGATTTTTCAAGGGTTCCCCTGGGTTTGAAACATCTGTAACGTGACTTGCTTAAGTTGTTTCATAGTTCCTTATTCGTAATAATCCCTACATTTGATGTTGAATGTTATCACATCAAGAAATCTTGAAATGCTTCACAGGATTTACTGTTTTGTCTGTGTTTTTGTAGGATAACAAAGAAGTCAATTTGCGCACAACAATATCCCATAAACCGCCATTGAAGTGAACGACTAATTTTATTGCGAATTGTTGGTCAGGGCACTGGGAGTAAATCCCTTTTCTTTTTGAACAGTAGCATGGGACATTTGTCCAATCTGAACAGGCATCAGTCCATGGATTACAGTCATATCTGAAGGATGACACCTCTGCCAATGCAACATTCCACCAGCACTACATTGAGAGTGTCATCCTAGCCTGATATTAAACCTCAAATTTCTGACTCGGGTAAGAGAGCTACCAACTAAGATAGGCTGGCACCCTTTTTGTGTCGATGCTTATTAAAGCATTTCAAATCCTCAACAAACATTTATAATTTATTGCCTTTTTTTGATCATTTATCAAATTGCACCTATAATGGATGAGATGTGCTTGGGCAAATATTATTCTGCTTTATATTTAAAGACTTATTGGAATTGATTTTAACATGAATAGTTTAGAATCGATTATTGCTGTCCAGCTAAGCAGATTTTTTCTTTTTTGGCTTATTAATATGATGAACATTTCTGCACTTGTGGCACTGGGTGGAGGAGCAAGAGCTGATTTAAAGTGTGCAAAATGTGTTTTAATTGGCTTGATGTCTTATTCTTCCATAAAATTAACTGAGATATTCATGAGGTACCAACTTTCATTTTTAAGAATGACTTTTGCCACACAGCAGCCAAGATATCAGGCAGGTTTCAGGTGAACTGGCACTGCTGAAGCTTCATTCTTATCGAATGTTGACATTCTTCTGAACCCAGCGATTAAGGATATGTTGATTGTTGAAATTGTTCCTTCAGTTATTTAACTTGGATTTTACATTTTTGTGGGAGCTTTGTTAGGCTGGTATTCATGACCTTGGCACTCCAGAACGTAGTGTGATGACATTCGCATGTGGTTTTCAGTGGATTGTTGGAGTATCTACAAAACTGCAGTTGAACGTTGAGTCTGAAAGGTCTTAGAATTCTGCACCACATGGACAACTTTTAAGGTGTGTGGCTGCTTTGACAGCTCTGCCACTGTTTCTATTTGAAAGATGGAAAGATGGTATTTCACACGCTGATGTCCAGATAAATAAACTTAAAAGATCTATTAATCACACTGTGCTTGGGGCTTTGGAATGCATCAATCTGTATTTATCGTAAGTACAAATGCTTCTCCAAGTTCTACTTTTTTGGCAAATGCATTTTCTCATTGTCCAGATGTAAATGCTATGGTTAGTTTTTAACTGTAGTCAGGAAGTTTGAGTGAAAAAAAACATTTTCTTTCCCACTGAGTGGGTGAATTTTAAATCGTTTGGACCCACTTAGATCATCTCCTAGTCTGTGAAGATTGAAATGCTCCATGTTAAATACATTTGAATTATAGATGAGTATTGATCTGAAGTGGAAAGATCTTATTTCCCAGCGCCTTGGGACGTCCTCCCGACGTGAAAGGCGCTCAATAAATGGAATCTTGTTGTTGTTGTATTTATCTCTATTAAAGTTGACACAGTATCTAAAGTGAACATCAGACATCATTGCATCAGCGCAAAAATCTGTAATGGTGTGTGTGGGAGTGGTTTCTCTACCATTTTTCTCCTTTTTCCACTCAACCAAAGCTGCTTTATTCATTTTCTTCTCTCCCCCTCCTTTAATTTAACTGAGGTATGGTTCTATAGAGTTGCACTGGTTCTCTAACCCACCAATCCATTTATTCATTTGTGAGTGTTGGCCGTCTATTTTATTCTGGAGCCATTACTGCCAAACCCTGTCTCTTCTCATGTACACAGAAATCTTTCATCCTTAATCCATTGGCACTGAGGTCATTTGTTTCACCTTTATTGCTTTAGTAATTTCAAGACTGGGGTTTAAATCCAGGACCTTCTGGTCTGTCTAGTCTGATGCTCTACCATTCAGTGTCCTTAGTCAAATTGGCCTGATCTTCATTGCAAGAACTGCTTCAAAATTAAGTCATTTACTGCTGCTGTGGTAGTGATCTGGGTAAAATGATCTGTAAATACTGGAAATTAACTTTTATTTGTATCACGCTCTCGTCGAAGTTCAGTACATTCTTTCTAAAACCAGATATTGCCTTATCCTGCCATGACATGATGGTTTACATTGGCCGTGTTGTAAATCCTGTCACGTAGGTCAGCTAGTCTGAAAGAACTTCGCATTATTATTACTATTATTATTGGACATGTTTCCATCGGCTCCTCCCTGGTGATGATGATCATAGGTTTGTCTCGTCATGTCGTTTTTTTAAATAGGTTCATTTTGAAGCAGTTGTTGCAATGAAAGTCTATTTCTAAATGCTGCAGAGTGTAACTTGTGTGCTCTTCAATTCAGGCTAAAACTGAAAGCCATTGCAATAGAACAGTCATAAATTGGTGTGACCTTTTCATTGGGCTATATATAGAGTTGAAATTTCCAATTGTTTTATTAGCTTAAAGGCATGTGCCGTTTCCTTTTCTCTGGTGTTTGGCCATTGACTTTTCAAATTGAATGTTTCGCCCTGTTACGATGGCAGAACTTTTGATCCTTTGCCAGTTCCATTCCTCAGAGTTTGAAAGGAAGCAACCCTAAAGTGGCAGTGTAGGAGGACCGCAGTCTTGCGCTTGACTGTTTCTTGTGATTTGTGTTGCTGGCTATTTGTGAAAAGCTTTACCATAATGGTTTGAAGCACTGAATCTCTCCTTTCGCAGCAAACGCTTAACATCATGTTGAAACGTACTTAACTGATCATTTCTAATTTTATCAAGGTTGGTAATTGGTGACTAATTTCAGTGCGTCTAATTTATTTTTTTTTACTGAGATTGTACAAAAATAGTCCCACAGCACCTCCTTCGCTGATTGCATCAGGATCGCTTCTGCTTGCTTTCTTACAAATACAAACTTTGTTTTAAAATTTCAAATTTGAGGCCATCACATCCTCCTGACGTGAAAGGCTCTTCACACATGTCATTTTGTATTGTATCATTTTACATAGGTGGGGTACATTTTCAAGGTCACCTCCTCCCAAGGGGTAGAGTAATTTTACGAACGCACTCGAGCTTAAATCTTGCCATTTAGAAGAACTGTCTTAAAGTCCACATTTGCCACTAACTTTATCGCGACGCAGTGGAGGAGGAGCGATTCTCTCACAGAGCTTGAGAATTTCCCACTCTACAATCAAGATGAGTAACTAGAGCTGTTTGTTTTATCTTCTCCGACCCCAGTACTTCTGGTCAACCGTTTTGGAATTGAAATTCTATGTCTGTCGTGTAGATTGAGAATTAACATCTAATCTGTGGCTGACTACAGGATTTTGAATTTATGGTGACATACAAACCATCCATCATATATCATCCATCATATCCATCAATTGGCTGCCGTGTTTCTGTGAAGTGCTTTGAGATATCTTGAAGACATGATATGGCACCATATCAAATGCAAGTACTATCATTACATATGGTCAGGCCTAACTTCAATAAAGCTTCTTTTGTGGTAAAATGTCCTACTGGCAAAAAAAACTCTTAAATAACAAACTCCAGTTTGAGGACACAACATGTATATGTTTGCAGTAGGATAGTGAAGCCCATTCGTGCAATGTCCAGTTTCTGGAAGATGGGTGTAAATTTGGATTATGTAACGCACAAGTTTTTTTTTAATTTTTCTTTCTTTTTTTTCTTTTCTCTCCCTAAACAAATGAAGTATCGTCTGTTCAACTGTTCCTGTTCCGTTTTCATAGAATTGATTTTTAGCTGACTTTAATATCTCACCACAGCAGGGCATATCATCAATCATTATTAGACTTGGAGGGTAAAAGCAATTTCATTCCCAGTGATATGGATTATTTGCTGGATTCTTTAATTTTCCTAATGCACTTTTTTTTTTACTGTTACAGCTCTCCTTATTTTGTTACCAAACCCTGTGTGGTCTTGTTTCATGCAATGGCGATGGGTTCACGCGTACAGTCAATGCTGACGGAGAAAAGCGGCAGGAATGCGTGTTAGGAGACTCCCTGATTCTGCATTGTTGTAAATGATGCGTGTTAACCAGCATGTCCTGAGCTCTCAGGAGCTGCATTCCTTGGATTCCTCTTAATCCTAAAGTTTTCCACTCTGGAAGTTAGAACAATGCAGGAGTTTTTAAAAATCCAGCCACCTGAGTTTTGTTCCAGGACATGTTTGCATCAAAATACTAGGAAATTAACCGCCATCATTTTACCTTAGAACTGATGAGGTCTTTTTTGTTCCATCATGTTACAGCTTCTGAACTGATCACTTGTGTTCTCGCCCACTGCAAACACAACAGTTTCCCGGGCAACATATAGTTTGGCGATATTTGCCGACTGGCTGGGGAGTTGCCTGCTTTCGCACATTGCATCCTGACTGATTGACACGGGTTCAGACCAATGCCATAATGTCATAATTTATAATTGATTTCCAAAAAGGTTGTCCAGTTTTATTTTAGCTGCTGCAATTTCTAAACAGAACAGTTGCATAACGCGTATTCTTGCAAAGCCTCAGTTCTTTGTTGCTGTAGTAAATTATGGGGAGGTGCAGTTGTTGTTTCTCTTAGCTTAGGAATGCTCATAATGACAAAGTTTGAGAACCCCTGTGCTAACTTGGATTTAAAATTCGCCTCTTTGCCACGTGAGAGTAAAATTCTAAGACTCATCATCCGTTGATCTCCACATTTCTCAATTGGCGACTTGCATATTGCCAATCTGTAGTGTGAGGTTTAAGAGTATGGATTTTTCAGCTTTATTTTCATGTGATGAAAAATGCCTCGTGCAACACGAGACTATTTATTATTGTATTGAATCTTCTGTTTGAAAATTAATACCTAAACCCATTATTCGATTTTCATCTTTGTTATGCGGTACCGTAGGAAACTGTGATGAAGTGGCTGGAAAAATCCTTGGATTTTAATTAAATAGATTTTTGTTTCTTCCATCCCATGCAATATTGAATTCCCTGTTGCAACAGTGTTTTATTGTGTTAAGTACTGTATTACCATTTTTCTATTTAGTTTCTGTAACATTCTACATAGCACAACCGCAGATAAAAGATTGGGTTTTCATTTCATCTGAAAATGTGGATGAGAATAACATTATTATATTATATTAAAGCATATTCTGTGAAATGCTTTCAGACGTCTCAATAAAGTGATAAGGTGCTGTATCAAATGCAAGGATTATTATTATTATCTGCTCTTTATAGAATGGCAACATTACAAATATTTATAGCTTTATTGTATCAGCTGAATGTAAATGATTTT